TGAGGTTTAGGCCATCGAATTTGGGTCTTGTGGGGGGTCTACAGGATTTGTGGTGGGGACAGCTGAGTACAAGTGTAGAATCCTGAAGCACTTGTGCTACTAGGGCTTTAAACCCTAAACGCTAAACTTTCCCTAAACCCTCAAGACTGAAAAATGAAGCATTGTCTACTCTAACCATCTTGCGAATGCTGAGGGAGAGTGTGGGAGTGAAGATAGCTACTATAGGGCTTTAGGGTTTAGGGTTTTAGGGTTTAGGGGTTTAGGGTTTAGGGACTATGCCAGGCATACTTATAGCGATCCATTCCTCACTCCTCCTCAATCCTTCAAGTAGAAGAACTTCAACTACCAGGTGCGAAGATATGTGATCCTGTGTAATACCCCTGCAGCCACATGACCGCTTAGCACCAGGGTTCTTCAGGCCTACCATTAAGAAGAAACCCTCAAGTTTTTTGACTTGGAGAAACCACAGGGTAAACCGACAGTACGGAAACAAAGGACCCCCAAAGCCTCAACCATATGAGCAATAGTCTAAACTCCGAGGATCCCCTTACTGACCCCTATAGTCCCCGAGATAGTCCCCTATATTACCCTGTTCCAGCACTTTAGACTCTAGCTCATATTGAAGCCTCTTGCTCTTAAGTGAGCCCAAGTCCTGAATTGAAAACACGCACTGTCTGCCAAATCCTTCCATAAGCCACCTGGATTCAAGCAGATTACGAACCGCCTGGCCGGTGTAATCCATTATGATACATACCCATGAGCGGCTACAGCTTCTAAAGCTGAGTATTACTTGAATATGCCTCTCCCCTGATATTCCCCCCCCTAATATTCAATACTCCCATTGCGGTATATTATAACATATTGGGAATATTTAGTATTAATATCTAATATTCAGTGGGGGGTTGATGGTTTAATATCAGGGGGAGGGGAATATTTGACTACAAGGTCTCAGCCTCCTACAACTGACGCCTCACGCACCCAGCTTCCAGTACCAGTTGCTAAAATCCCCTCCCCCTAACGTTAAATCCCCACCCCATGGTGGTATATTGTCATATATTGGAAGTATAGAATATGAGGTAGGGGGAGGGGATTTGTATTCTAATGCAATTGATGAACGAAAAAAATCTGATCCAGCAACCTGGGTCTCCAACAATCATGGTACAACTGACAGTGAGAGGCAGGATTTTGCTTGTTGACCCTAAAGTTTTTCTGTAGCCCTACCTGGACACCCTGCACCCTCAAACCCTAAATCCTCCAGAGCGCTTTCGCCCCTCCAAACCCTAAACCCTAACCTTAAACTCCAAGCCCTAAACCCCAAACCCCAAACCCTAAACCTTATAACCTAACCCCCTAACCCTAAACCCTGAAAACCGAAACCCTAAACGGCCCCCCACCGCCTCGGCCCGGAGGCCGGCCCTAAGCACTGCAGCCGCAAGCTCCGGCACGGGCCCAGGGGCCACGATCAGCGCCCAGACCTCTGGCTCTGGTAGAAGTGGAAGAACTACCCTACCAAAGTTAATCTAGGGGCTATATAGGGATTATGTAGAATTCTACGAATATCCTTTCCCGAATTCCTACTGAGCAGCCTGACTTAAGCTACGCAACAACATGAATAGTCAGGGTCATTTGCAAGAGCTACATGAACTTCTCTGTATGCCCAGATTGTTTGGGGGGGCTTTCTTGTATGCAACTACTTACTGGTTATGAGTAGGGAATAAGATAAGGGAATATAACCCCTAAATACCCCCATATAATTCCATTCCCATATTCCCTACTAGCCCTACACCCTGAACCCTAAAACTATATATATATATATATCCCTTATTCCCTACTAAACAACCAGCAATTAGAATATGATAAGGGGAATCTCCTGCCGGCAGCCCGTCAGCTACTTCTGAGCTGTCTTTCTGGGGGTTAGTAGGGAATAAGAGAACATGCTAACCGCCAGTAAGTTTTGAAGCACCCCCCGCCAGTATCCCACAGTCCCGGAGTACGATAATCCCAGAACCAATTAATTTCCTGAGATGGCTCGAAGTCATGAGGGGCCCCGGCCTCCGTTGGTGGGCCATCATCCGCCATGGGCGATCCCAACTCCCACTTCCATTGAGAATTCTATTATATAATAGAAGACGATGTCTATGCCTCTATATGTATATATGTGTAGGTATGTGTACATACCGTATCATTTAGATTCTTGCCATGCAAAAAATGCATACCGCGTGACCTATGCGTACCTCCTTTATCGTCTAGAGGGACAGAAGTAAGTATCCACACGTGTAACTATAAAGACGCATGTGCTCCAGAAATTGGGTGCAAGAGTTGACGGGCTACTGAGCAGCTATGAAGCGGAGGTCGTCAAAGAAGAGCTCCACCTGTCGCGCACGCAGTAGCTGTTCTTGAGCTTGGGGTTTTGACTCTCACAACTCGCACAAGGCAGGCAAGGCAAGACACGTCCAGGTCCAACGCTCTTACTGTACACTCACTGCCCTGGCCAGAGTCATCGCACGCAGCTGCTGCAACCAAAACCGCCAAATGCTCAACACCCAATACCCAATACACCCCACAAGCACACGAGACTCCAGCACACGGCAAAAGATGTTGCACACTCCAGTAGCTGGCAAAGGAGATAACCACTAGAGCTATGCACAGTTTGGAAACAGTCACCTACGGGAAATTAATAAAATAGCCCCAGGACATCCTGATACCACAACGCGATCATATGCCTAAGCCAAGCCCACCAATAAACTTAAAAGTCTAACTGTGCCGCATGGCAATGCTTGGCGCTGGTGGCCTTGCACTACAAACTACAAATCTCAGCCATGCTAAGCACAATAGCACAATGGTGGATGAGGTCTTTCCTTCATTGCTTCTGGAAAGGCTATAAAAGTCTCACCATTAATTATGCAAAGCCTGCTCAGGGCCTCATCGTGCCGCCCCACGGAGCGCTTCGGTAAGATGAGTCCATTGGTCAACAGCATCATAGCCAGTGACATACTCTCCCGCCATGGTTCCGATGAAGCCCACCATAGCCAGCCTTCCATGTTCCAGTTCAAGTGTGCGGACAGCTTCGAAATCCGTGTACTCGAAAATGGACCTTTTCCTTAAGCCAGCGGGGTCTCCGAAGTCCCCAGGTGCCCGGCCTTTGTCAGTCCAAAAGACAGTCTCGAACCAGCCAGAAATCAGAAACAGGATCCCGAAGGCTTCTGCAGACGGACTTGCAAAGATGGCACCAAAACCACTGGGCACATCAGTGAGAGATGATGCCTTCAGCTCCCCAAAAGCCCCTGTCAACACGAATGGGAAGCGATAGCTGTGTTGGGCGATGAGGCCAACAACTGCCAACATAGCCACGCGACCGTGTTTCAACTCTGCGCCTCTGTAGCGGTTGAACTTCTCTTCATCACCTGTTGACAAGTTGAGGGGATCCCAGCGCTCCATTCCCTTGCTGGGATCGACCAGTGGCATAGTAGCGCCAACGGTTCCTGGCCAGGGCCCGAACTCCCCGGACATGCCCCAGGTCATCCCAAGACTTCCTCCCATAAGACCTGTTTTCGCTGCACTGGTCTCTTTTTCTGTTGTCTCCGCTGCCTTTGTCTCGCCTCCTTTAGCCTTGCGTTGGGTGCGGGAGCTTGCGAAAGCCACAGCACAAATGGCGAGTGGGAAAGCGCCAACGGATCCACACCAGGATGCTGAACTTTTGCGAATACCCTCAGATCTGCGGCTGTTCCCGCGATCCAATGTGTTTGCAGCTGCTGGAACGAAGGTGACAGAGACAGAGCCCAGGTAGATCAAGCAGGCTGCGCAGGCGCCAGCGAGGAAAGCGTAAGGGCGCATTGCGTGAAAAAGTGAAGGCAGCACCAGAGCAGGCTCTCAAAACTTGGGCCAAAAGGGCTTCCGCACTCCACTGACTGCCAGTACTGCGCTCAAGTCTGCTGGTGCATCACACTGCCTTTCTCAGGGAGCGATAATTGTAGGAAGCTGGTATAGCAAGAATGGCTCTTGAAATATGTCCTGTTGATTTGCTTCAAGAACTCATGCACGTCACTTCACAAGTTGCAATCACAGGCAAAGCATTGCAAAGCGAGCCAGATGCACCTGAAAGACGATGTCCGTCTCGCCGTCGTCCAAGATGCTTTGTCTCTATAAATCATTAGAGGCACCTTGCCCCATTAGGCTTATTGTCAGTCTTAGGTTTAGGTTTTCAGAGGAAATTGCATTAAAGGGTTTAGGATTGGGACTTTATGCTTGGGATTTGTTGAGCATAGAAAAAGCGGTGATTTATTCGGAGATTTTAACCTATGGGTAGAACTGTTTTGGGATTTCAGCTTGACATTTGGGTGCCCGTCTGCCGGCGTGTTTCCTTAGATAGTGGGGCAAGGTGTCTTGTTCCTTAGGAGTATGTAGAGAGTTAGGGGCATGGGGGAGTCCTTAGTAGCCAATATAATTATCTGGGCTCTGAGTAATACAGCCCGCGAAAGTAAATTGCTACATCCCACCGGGCCTGCTAAGATCTAACAATTCGTTGGGGTCCTCCCCCATAAGGGATGACCTAACATACCAAGAATCCTCAGTATACGAGAGATCCCTAATTTCTTAAACCCCATTGAACAGGGCCAGGACTTTTCAGTGTCAGACCTTTGAGGCCCCAGGCAATTTGCAATGCAGCGCACAAACGATGAGAACAGGATTTTGGCCTAAATTGTGCCATGACATGAACCAGCAGGGCCACATCTTCCTAAGTCGAAAGTATTCAGGATTCTTCGGTAAGGCCTTTTGGCCCCCTCTACTGTGGACACACTACAGCCCTGCTAGATCTATTGTGCCCGCCCTTTCTTGGCAACAGATTGGTAGTAATCCCGTAGCTACTTGTCGGCGTATCAAGATTAAGTGTCACTTCCCTGGGGGCCATAGATGGCCCTAAGCCACAACTCTGTTGCAACTTGCAGCCTCTTGAGGCCCTAAAGCCAAAGTTCAAACCCTAGACCCAAAAGCTTGAATCCTCAGCGCGCTATCAGGTCAGCCTCAGTTATGCGGTCGTTGATCTGCACCTGAGGGACGACGGAGTGCACACAAGGAATTGCTGTTCAAGGACCATCTGCCGGCCACAGCGCAGTAATTCCAGTACATGAACTGATGTGACTTTGTTATCCTGTGAGCCCGCTGCTGACGAGTCACAAGAACTCCTCAAGTGGGGCTAGGCTTTGAAGGCTCAGTCGTGCTATGACTAGCAGCCTTGCAAGTAGCTTGGCAAGGCATAGGCAGTTTTAGTCTAGGTTTGCGTGCATGGCCGCTTGTCAGAAACTGGGGATCACGAAAAAATATTGCTTCCCCTGCGAGTCCCCTCCTCAGTACTATTGTGAAGGCGTATATGGGAACTACTGTAGGCATCCTCCCTCCATTCCCTACTAACCACCACTAAATTTACATGTCAAGGGTACTGTCCTTCCCTACAGAAAGCCTTAGGTAAGCCATTGCGCATGAGATAGAGCCAGTCTCACCTTACACCCTGCTACAGGGCTACCTGACACTTTGATCCCAGCCCTCCTCGACTCTTGTCAACATGAAGCACAAGAAGATACAATTTCTCACTACATACTTAAGCCTGATAGTGCGAAATCAACCTTCTTGTAAGGGAACACTCAAAAAGGCACCTCTCATTTTGGGAACCCCCATATGCTTAAGCCTGATAATGGGACATTCAATAAATAGTAGTTTCCATTTTATTTTCCATTACTTTTAATATAACCCCAATATAACCCCTATACCCTAACCCAAGTGTTCAGGAGTTCGTTCTGGCATCTCCTGATGCCGGCTCGGTTGTGGTTTGCAAAGCTGCCAAGCAGCCCATGGGAAGCTTTTTTAGGGGTATATATCCCTAGTCACGGAAAGTCGACAAAAAAGTGCAACATGAAATGGAAACTACAGACTGCAAACCTTAATTCCTAAACCAAACAGTAACTCTTTTGTTTAGGATTTTAGGTTTGGAGCCCATGGCTGCGCTAGGTACCTGAGGCTACCCAAGTTTCCCCTTGCTGCCCAGATGTGTCACATGGCGAGAAACGTACTGCTGGTCAGTAGGGGATAAAGGAATACAATCCCTGTATGGTCCCCATATGGCATAGTCCCGTATTCCCTACTAACCTCCAGGAACGAAGGGGATAGGTGCCCTTTAGAATCCTTGAGGTATAGGGTATTACATAAGAGAACATGTGGCCCTCAGTCAGGACTATGAGAACATATTCGGAGATACTCACATATTGATGACGGAAACCCCCAAATCCCAAACCCACCCTCACCCTCTCCCCCAAACCCTAAACTCTAAATCCGAAACCTTCTGGCCTTTGTCCCAGATTCTGCCTGGTCGTTCCAATCCTGCTCAGGAATCGGCGAGGCTGCAGGATACATGCTCTCGGGGTAAGGTAGTCTAGGTCAGAGTATCCAGACATCACGGTACTCCTCCAAACAACCTAAGAACCGAAGGGGTAACCTGAAGGTATTCTGCCAGTACCTCCAGAGCCAAGACTCTGTAAACAAACGAAGAAGTGTAAATCGCTTTGGCCTAGGTCTTCTTACTGGGGGTTAGTAGGGGATAAGGGAATATATTAACTATTCTGTTTTTGTTATTATTATATAGGGGTTATGGGGGGATTGTATTTCCCATCCCCCACCAACCCTCAGAAAGTCCAGGACAGAAATTGAGATAAGCTTTCGCAAGGCGCAATAACTTTCTGCCAGAGCTCAAAACAACTTCTCGCTCTGTCTCTCTTTCGACATACAAGGAGCACTGCTAAGAATATTTGGAAGCCTTCACTTTCAAGGCCGCAGGTAATTTCGTGTAGGCATGACTTCCAGGACTAGCAGCACACACATCAAGAAGCGTTGACCTTATGAGTCCATGCCAGCAAGGGCTGATGCAGACCCTCAGTTGAATTTGTTACGTGGCCTTTATGCCTAGTTGAGACTGCCATGCGTAATTACCTGCTAGTCTAAATAGGGGACTCCAACATAAACCCCCAAATACGATAATGCTTATTACACAGAACCCCCAAAACAGGTACCCCTAATTTTGGTCAACCCTAATCTCCACAAAGCCATGGCAATCCCAGTGTCCATTTCATTTTCCATGTTCTTTTGCATGTGATTCCCCCTTCTTGGGGGGTAGTATACCAATAATTCTGGGCGACCCTCCCAAACCCCAATTTTCTTTTCCATTATCCCTAAATAATCACTGGCACGCTGATATCGCTGATTTTGTTGGGCAACCCCCGCTCGCTTCCCTCAAGAAGCTTGCACCACTACAATGGCATGGAGAAAAATCTTCTGCATCCCCTTGCTCCAGAAACCTTATAAGCCTTAGACCCTATGCAACCGGAGTGGATGATATTCGACACCGAGATTACAGGGTTTAGGGTTTACATACAATGGATAGGATTATGAACAAAATCCGCAACGTAATGCGCTGCTGACCCCTGAACTTTAAATGCACGCCATCTCAGGTGTCATCTGTGCCCCGCTGCCTTCACCAAGCCTTCGTTGATGCCTCACCCATGTAAACACATAGGGTTTAGGGTTTAGGGTTGTAACACAGTTTCCATCATGTTCCTTCTTCTTTTCCATCTGATTCTCCATTACCGTGGTAGCATAAGCACTGCAAACCGCGGCCCAGAGTTGTCTGATTTGTCTGCAGGCCCTTGGTAGCTAAATCTAGGTGCGTCGTGAAATGGGGCGCAAAAAACTGGACAAGTTGGCTGCGGAATTTTGTGCGGAGCAGGAAGGAACAAAACAACTCCCCTGCCAACCCCCCCCAATCCCCAAGTTAAGGTGTTGCTTGAATGCACTTTTCGTGGGCTCACCTCCAAAAATCAGAGTTGGCGCAGCCCCTCTAGAATCCTTACGGTGTTCCACCTGACCTTGCTCCTTGCTTCGTCCTAACCTGAATGAAGCTGCTGGTGATGATTACAATAGGCGTACCGTTCTGATGATGGTACAATGGAATGAAGTCATAGAGGGCTTCTACAACTTAGGCCTGTTTTGGTTCAGGTCCATGTAACAAGATCCTTTTTTTCATGGGAACCCAAACCGAGAACCCACCCAGTAAAAGTTAGCTGCACAGAGCCTTGACTGGTCCAGATTCCGAATAAAAGGCTTCCTGAACTTTCAGGAACTATCAGGCAGAGAGCTTCAAAGCAAGAATGCAATTGCTGATTATACTTTCGATTCACGTAACCCTAAACCCTAAACCTTTAACGATGTGCCGAAGACAGGGATTTCAGCAACTATGCATTGCGCTTCCCAAGTCTTGGATGTCATAGCCCTGAGAGTGACAAATGCAGCTTTGCCATTTACAACTTCGGAATTTTCCCAAGGTTCACAGCTACATTCTAAACTCCCCAGAGCGGGTTATGTAGGGGACTATATTGGGGACTCCTATATAGAGGTCATTAAGGGGGATACTAGCTTCAAACCTATGGCGACTTCATTCGAGACTTGTCAAAGTCCTGTCTGCGGCCCTGGCATTCGATGAGCAGCGTCTTCCCATCTTTGTGGTCCACATCGATGCCCAACCTGGCCCACCAAAGCTTTGGGTGCTTGGTTGGCCTTTGGAACCCTTTGAGAAATATTAGGATGTTGGGTCCTTATGAAAGCAATTAAGGAAAATTGCTTAAGGAACCCAAAGGCCAACCCAGGGTGTAGAGTTTTTAGGGTTCAGGTTTTAGGGTTTCAGGTTGGGGATTTAGGTGTTGGGGGATTAGGGTTTAGGTTTGCGGGGTGGGAGCGAGAGGCCAGTGGCCGCAGCCGTGTAGGCATGGATAAGCAGAAAGAAGCCTAGCAATTGCACAGAAGGGGGGTGGAATATCTTTCCTCTGTACTTGATCTCGTATATGTTTCATACATACTGATGAGTGCGCTATACATATGTATAAGTGCACTACACATCAGATGTATATGAGCTATAGTCTAAGCTCCTAGCATCGCCCTTAATAAGCCCATAGTAGTCCCCTGTATAATCCCCTCTATAACCCCCTTCAAGGAGTTTAGACTGTAGTACATATGCAGACACACTCAGTTTGCAGATTTAGGCGTCTACTTGGAGGTCCATTGTACTTATAACCTGCTTAATAACTGTAGTTATAACCCAATTATATTTAGGGTAACTGTAGTTCTGGGACTTATCATTAGGTTATAACTACAATTACTAAGTAGGTTATAAGTACAACGGACCTCCAAGTACCTGCTGCTTCTCCAGGGTGCTGCGTTCATCAGCTCCGCCGGAAACTTCACTAAACTGGCACAGCACCCGATCTGACATTGTTTAGGGTTTATGGTTTTAGGGTTTTGGGTTTGAGGAGAGTTTCGGATTCTCTGACCACCATCACTGCAATCCTTAAGTCAGACCCCCCGCCCCAGAATCCCGTTGCCATCTCCCACTATAAGCCTGATGTCGGATCCCAAAGAGCCCCACGCTTCGGATCCACGACAGTCAGACCCACCTTGCAGATCATAACTCTAAAACCATTACTAGCAGACTAGCACCACCATGGTTCCTTCCCCCGTTCCTTCCTTGCTGGGGCTTAGTAGGGATTCAGGGAATATGTTATATAGGGATTAGTTGTCCTTATTGCCTACTAAGAACCAGTAAGCTTTCTCCTGCTCATGTTGCCGCTTCTTCTTCTGCCTTCACCGACTAAACCCTCTACCTGAAACCCTAAACCGCGTGGCTGGTGCCACCGTCATTGCTTCTCTGCTGCTGAAATGGCTGCTGCTAATTGCTACTTTGATGCCGGTATTTGGACAAAGGCACGCGCGCTTTGATCCCCATTTGCCACCATAGACCTCCAAAGGGCCCACGAAGCCTGAGAACATGATCTTCGATGAGATCGAAAGTACTGCATAAAACAAAAGGAATTCGGCTAAGAAGCTTTGAGGGTAGCCAACCTTCACTATTCTATTTTCATAATAGCTTGCTGGCATCTAGAAACATGAGGCCCAAAAGCTCACTGCAGGGCATGGTCTAAAATCTCCAGTCACAAGTTCCTTTCGGCGCGTCCATTTGATCTGCTAGCAAAATAATGCCCCCAGCAAACAAGACAATCGCATCCACCTCTCAATAGATCCCTCCAGCCACAAACAACCATGATCCCTCGAGGATCCAATAAATAGGCACCTCCAAAGCAAGCACAATCCCATGCTGGGGAATATATGGGCCATGATCTAAACTCCTAGTATCCCCATTATTAACCCATATAACAGTCTCCGATGTAATCCCCTATATAACCCCCTTTGAGGAGTTTACATATAATCCTTATACAGTCCTATATATATATATATATATAGCAGTTTCCATATAATTTTCCATGTTCTTTTCCATTTGATTCTCCATTCTTGGGGCATATCTGGGGTGGTCTGGGAGGGAAGCTTTCCATCAATCAAAGCATCCTGCCTTTTGCCTGCGGACTTGTCCAGAGTGATCTCGTACTCTGAGCCGCCTCGCTTCACAAGACTTCCCAAGGCTACCCCAATGTTACCCCAATACATACCCTATAGTACTATAGCAGTTTCCATTTTATTCTCCATTATCCCAATATAACCCCAATATTACCTCTATATATACCCCATAATACTATAGCAGTTTCCATTTTATTTTCCACTATCCCAATATAACCCCAATATACTATAGTAGTTGTTCGATGCGCTGGAGGAGATGAGGTGCGCATCGCTTGCTGTATCTGCAGCTCAGATGACTTGAGTGAATAAGAAGAATTTGACAATGCCCGGACTTTCTGGGGCTCACCACGTTGTGAATGTGCATAGTGCCCTCAACTAGTTCACTAGGAATCTTTCGCTCCCGGCCGCAAATGACCACTCCCGGACAGCCTCTTGGTGTGCATACCTTACGGGGAAGCACAAGGGTAGGAAGAACCCCAACATGCCTCGGATCCTGTTCAAGTTCATCCACTCTGCTTTTCTGGGGCATCTAATATTCTGCAAATTCAGGTTGCCCTGGATACCCTCAGGATCTCTTGGGAAGTGGCTAGGACCTAGGAAATCAAAGTTGAAGCCAGTGCGTAGATGTTTCCTCTTATGTTTTGAAAATATCAAGACGCATGTACTTCTGCTCCTCTTTCTTCCGCTGCTGAGGATGATCATCATCCTCTCGCTCTCTATGTGTTGTTGTTGTTGTTGCTGTTGCTGCTGCTGCTGTTGTTGTTGTTGTTGTTGCTGTTGTTGCTGTTGCTGCGGCTGACTACAATATGGCCATTGAATTGATGGCTTTTCTTCCGAGGGTGTAAGACTATGACCAGTTTCCATGTTCTTGTCATGTTCTTCTTTATTTGAACCTCGTTTGTTGGGGTAGTATACCCTAAATGTCTCATTGATTATCCTAGATAATCCCTATGTAATGCCTACCAAACCCTATGCAATCCCCCTATATGGGTAAATGTCTCACATATAATCCTACATGCCCCTACTGGCCCTAATGCTTATCCGGGGACTGTGTCCTTGCGGTCCATGCAAGATCCCCGGAGAATTTTCGGTACCAAGCGATGAAGCCCCATCCCCGATAATTGTACCCTGATGTATCAGAGGAACGTTTACTTTTGCGTGATGGCCAGTGGCTATTTTCAGTTCGGGTGGATGAAAGAAACCCCTGAAAGCCTAACTTTACATAATACCTGAACCCCAACATCTAAGCTTTGAAAAAACACCTAACCCCAAAAACCTGTTGACATGTCCCGTGCTAGCATTCCCCAGACCCCCTAAAGGATCCAAAAAATGGAACCCCCTAATAGTCCCCCAGTTTCCCCAATGTAGTAATGGGTTCATATTAGGGGGGTTCCGTTTTTTGGATCCTTTAGGGGGTTGGAGGGTCAGGGGGACTTAGTAAGTAGGTTAATGACCCCTATAACCCATATAATACCCATATAGTAACCCTAATTATCCCCATTATTACCCTACTTACCAAGTCCCCTTGACCCTAAACCCCAAACCCTATGTAACCCAATTATAGTAGTTTCCATTTGCTTTTCCATTATCCCAATATATCCCCAATAGAACCCTAATATACTACAGTAGTTTCCATTTTATTTTCCATTATCCCAATATATCCCTTATATAAACCCTATATAACCCCAATATAACCCGTATATCCCTCCAAGTACTGCATCCCAAGCGGAGGCCCCAACTCGGCGTCTCCGTGTCGGGCTTTTCTGCCAGCCTCTGGCTCCAGGCTTTGGTCTAAGTTGAGATTCAGAGTTTAAATGTTCAAGGTTTAAGGTTTAGGGTTTAGAGTTTATAATATTGGGGTTTAGGTTGAAAGTTTAAGGTTCAAGGTTTGTTAGTAGTTGAGGTCTGAAGATTTGTCGTGCAACGCGCACAAAGCTGGGGACTCAATTTCATTCTGTTAGAATGCTGGCCTTGGCAAGGTCTCTGGAACTGTTGTCTTTCGCTCATTTTTGGGCACCCATCATGAAGATCATACAGGGCATTGTTCTTGACTTATGTTGCAAGGAGTCCCCCATAAACGCTGGGAACCTGTGATACGCCCTCCACTATAAGCAATCAGGCCTCTTCAAAATGCTTCTATTAGGGTTTTAAGTGGGGCTATAATGGGATAATGGAAAATAAAATGGAAGCTACTATAATATATTGGGGTTATAATATGATAATGGAAAATATAATGGAAACTACTATAATGGGTTCTATAAGGTTTAGGAGAAGGATCGTAATCCATCATTTCCAACCGACTCCTCTAAGCCCTCCATCAGGACTTCTCTAGAGCCCTCGCTCAAAATCATCTCTGCGAAGCCCTTGAGGTACCATGATAAACCCTCAAATGGATCAGATATTCCTAAGGCCCCTAAGGGCCCCTGTTTTGAGAAGCTCCCAAACAATTAGAAAATTAACCCTTCATGGAGTGTGGACAGCGGCTGCTCACCCCGCCGCAGTCAAAGGGTTGAGGTTCTACCCTTAAGGCGGTGCTGATGGACTAGGTATTCTTAGCATGCTAAGAGCTGTGGCAATGACTTAGGGCCGGCCCTAAACCCTAGACCCTTAGGGCCGGGAACTAGGTTCCAAGATATCAGTCATAAGCAGAAGGCGGTGACAATCTTAGTACAACTTCACGTGATGTAGAGTAGAGAGTGTAGGCTTTTTCATATACAGTGGAACTAGAATAACAGCCCACGTACATCGCTTCAACCCCACCCACTCCCAATTTACATCCTTGTCGAGAGTTGCTTTCTTGCTCTTAGTAGCGAGTAGGGGAACAGAATGCCTGTATAATATACTCCAATATCAAGCCCTGGTAAGTTTGAGATATCCCGCCGCCAACTACAATCAAAGGCTCCCTGAGTTCCCCAGATACTTAGCTCCGGTCAACCTGCAGAATTTAAACAGCCCAAGATGCGAACCTACTTTCCAAATCGTTATAGGTTTGGAGATTAGGTTTAGGGTATAGGGGTTTAAGGTTAAGCCTTTCAGGTATTAGGGAGCTTGGGTTTTACAACCCTCGTTGTTCCAGGGTTCCGGCATCCGGTCCTTCTCCCTGGATGCTGCAGGCGCTGCAGCCATGTCCTGCGGAATTTCAATCCGTGAAGGACTTATGTATGGGGGTTTCCCCAAATCAGGGGTACCGCTTGGGGGGTCCCCAAAATGGGGACTATAATTACTATCTTGGGGTCTACATTGGGGTTCCCCCTTTATGGAAACTATCATATAGAGTTCATACAGTGCAGGTATGACGGGCTCAGATTTTGAGCTAGTAAGTGTTCGCAACACCACGTTTTACGGTTTGGCGCGGTTTCTTGAAAGTCAGCGCCTGCTTTGAAACCGAGACCCTCAATCCACTTCCGGGGCCGATGAGGAGTAGCCTAACCGGGGAACTACATCCAAATGGCCGTTTCCATGAACCAGGAACCCCAACATGGACCCCTATACACTACAATCCTTGTTAGGCGGGCCCCCATATAGAGCCACATCGTCTCTTCAGCCACCCTAAACCCTAAACCCCAATGCGTGTTGAATTTGGGGTCTCATGCTCAGGTTCCAGGAGCTCATGGATTATTTGGGCTTGTACAGCTTGGCGGTCTTTTTGTCTGTTACCAAGAAACCTACAATAGAAAAATCTCCTTAGAAAGACCGCCAATCCGTTCAACTTAGAGGATGTTCATCTTGAGTTGAGGGGTTAGTTCAAGGATTTGAGATGTTGGATTCTGGGTGGTTTTGTAGCCATGGGATTAAGTATTGTATGCACCTGAAGACTAAGAGGTGTGTGCTGGGAGGGCCGCTACACCCGAGTCCCAAACAATTTGGATCTCTTGACTTAGTCAGTTGCTCAGCCACAGGTACCTTCCCCCAAACTAACAGGCAACCTAATCAAGCTCTGGTAAAGAGGACCTTCGTCCTTGTGCGCCCTGCTTGCGGTATCCTTTTAGTTTGAAGCAGGGTACCTTGTCACAAAGTTGCTGCTTGGGCGTGACCGTGAATGAGATTGCAGGTAAACAGCTTCCTGACACTGGTACCTTTACAAAGGGTTGCGCTTTCTACTCTGCGGACACTGTCAAATGGAGCGGCAGCATTCGGACACCTTACGACAACTTCCCAGAAATCCTAAAGTAAGACCCCTTCATATTGCCTAGGCTAATAACAGGATTTTAGCTACCCCAACCCGTGTAATCTATCATCTGACGGCAATAGGATCCTAATGGGTACCTAGAACCCCTCATTAAATCTAGTTCTTCTATGCCAAAACCCTAACCCAAAACACTAAACCCTAAACCCTCATTAAATCTAGTTCTTCTATGCCATGCAATCCCCAAGTTGTTGTTGCAGACAGCTCCCCCCGCCCCACGGTCCGCATCGTCTGCCGGCGGCGCTGGCTCCTTCAAGTGGTAATAGGGTTCAGGGTTTATAGGGTTTAGGGTTCAGGGTTTAGGGTTTAGGGCTTAGGGTTCAGGGTTTAGGGTTTTAAATGCATACTGTTCTTGGTCGCGCAATGGTAAAGGCTTGAGGGCTTAAGGTTGCGGCCACATTATGAGATATTCCCTTATTCCCCCAGTAAGCCCAGTAGGCAAACATCAATCTGAAAACTTCCTACCAAACTGCGAGCATCCCACTCGCCTTTGGTAGTCCAAGTCCAGGCGTCCCAACAGCTACAGGGTTTGAAGTTAGGGTTTAGGGTTTAGAGTCGTTCTTTTCTGTCCCCCCTTTACCCCAAGCGGCAAAATTTGAACCTTCATCGGGGCTCCTTAAAATCCTAGCCCAGGACCCTCAACTCTAAGGTCGCTTCGACAAAGTATCCAGGCTTCTAAAAAAGTGTCCAGGTCTAGGGCTTAGCGAGTAGTTTAGTGTGACTCCTGCCCAGACCAGGTGGAGGAAAAACAGCTCTTGTACAAAAAAGAAAAATCACAACCCCACATAATCCTTCCTCATGTTCTTCCGGGAGATCTGCCTAGACCTCCCAACTCAAATACCCAGAAAGAACATCTAGGTCAGCTATGTATCCTCTACTTTGGGGTTATAAACCCTAAACCCTAAACCCAAGCTATTACTAGTGGGTATGTGGGATGTCCAGGTAATTGTTTGCGCTGCTTGACCCTTTTGGGGGATCTGAGTAAGTTCTAAATCCTAAACCCTAAACTTTAAGCCGTCCTTCCGCATGGTCGACTTGTTCTCTTCCGCTTCCACGCTCGCATCATGCGAGCAACAGCTCGAGATGAGGCCCATGGCCTGTTTTCAGCGTCCACTTAGGGTTTAGGGCTTGAGGAATCAAATGGGAATCTACTGGAAAAACTTTCTAAACTAGAACTACAAAGATTCATAGTTTCGGGTTAGAATGCTCTGTTCAAGGTTCCTTTCTTGCTGGTTGTTAATAGGGAATGAAGGACTGCAAAAACACTACTGGATTATAGGGGATTGGACAGGGGCTACTATATGGATCAGGCACCCTGCATAAGACAATAATGGAGAAGCCGATGGAAAGGAAGACGGACAATTACATGATCTTGGGGTTCATGCTGGGTTTTTTATAAACATTGGCTGCATTGTGTACTATATCGTTCTTGTGGAGTTACCGGGTCCATTCAGGTGCAGAAACGCTATGTTCGTGGAGCAGAGCGTGAGCTTGTCCAAATGGTATGACATGGTGGCTCTGGGCTCAGGATTGTAAATCTTGGTCGCAGGGTGTATTAACGGTTCAGGGTTGGCCTGCAGGGTTTCCAGTTTAGGGCATCAGAACCACATCTCAAACCTCAGGAACAAAGTATTTGGAATCAGGGAAGCCAGATGACGGGAGTTCCACGATCTAAACTACGGTTACCCGCTGACTCCTTGCGTTCTCCTGAGACAGAACCCAAACTGCACCCAAACTTAAGGTCTCCAATCGAAAGCCTTCTCTGCGCGTCGGCGTGCGAAAGAATCATGGCATCCAGAAATCACAAGAAGAACATGACCCCCCTTCATGGAAATTCCCAACTTAAAAGGAATTGTCACGAACATGGGCGCCTTTGGGGGGACAAAAAAAAGGACTTTCAACCTCGATGCGAGCCATTCCCATGTAAGTAAGGGCTTTGACAAACCAAACCCAAAACTAATACTGGGGTCTTGATTTGGGGGGCTGGGGCTACGGATTTATTAAGAAAAGGGAAACCTTTCGGGCCATGGGGGAAACGTAGGGACTTTCCGAAGTTAGAGGAGTACCCACCTTGCACTGACTACATGTGTTTCTTGCGCATCCTCCAGCCTCCAGCCCTAACTCTTGGGTTTAGGGTTTAGGTCTTAAAACCCTGAACACTAAACCCAACCCTAGTGTTCAACCTAAAGGCCAACCCAAAATCCTGAAAATCTAGTCCCCCAACCCTAAATGCACGCCCTGGTGACTTACTCTCTAACTAGAATTAAGACCGAAATCGAAGTCTCCTAAGTACAGTTACACTGGTTTGCCGGATATTGTCATTTCCATAACGAAGGAGGCCCGATATAGACCCTAAAATACTGTAACCCTTAATATGCGGACGCCTCATAGGGGACCCTTGATTTTCCACACCCTCAATCCCCTGAATCCCCGTATATCCCTATAGTATATCCCTGCGTTTCCATGACCCTATATAGCCCCTACCGAAATCTTACTAGCCCTGGGATACGGACTCCGCTGAGGCTGTTGAAGCCACGCAGAGGCAGGAGCCTGGACGTGTTCGGCCATTTCTCAGTTTATGTGGTGAGGGTGTCTAGGGATGTATAAGGATTTTGCATAGGATTCATGAATTTGTCAAATTCTGCCTCCCTTTGGGTGTGTTGTAGGAGGAATCAGGAGTCGGCAAACATCGGTGACTTTGGGAGCAACCCTAGTTCTGTAATGTCCATACCAAAGCTCTGGGCTTTCGAGAACGCGTCCTAGACCCTACCCGCGCCCATATACAACCCACACAGCGTGAATTTTGTTGCCGATGGTCTAGCAGATGATTGCTGCGAAGTGGGATGGTCAAGAAGGGTTGTCATCTTCCTTTCCAAGAGTAGCGTGACTTTTGTTGCCGATGGTCGAGCGAATTGCAGCGCTGATGGCTGGACAACAAGGTGTTGAATCTTTTTGCTGATGATGGTCCAGGATAACCCAGCACTAGCGGCTGGGCCACAGGGTTTGTAAGCTTTTTGTTGCCAGTGGTCCAGCCCTAAACCCCTAACCCTCAACCCCAAGCCCCGAAGCTCAGCCTAGACCTGAAACCCCAAACCTTAAACCTGGAACCCTGAACCCTAAACCCTTCAATCCCTTAGTTTCCATGTTCTTTCCCATTATCCCAATACATCCCCATATATATCCTTTATATAACCACAGTTTGGAGTAGGGACTACAAACCTTCATCCCGAAACTCTTTCGAATCCTAAACCCTTAACCCTATACCCTAACCCTAAACCGTTTACCCTAAACCCTATACCCTATACCCTAAACCCTCCCAAACCCGCCTCCAAGGTGGGGGCGGCCGGGGCGCACCAAGCTTCGAGCCACGCGCAGCGAAAGCAGCTAAGGGATATATGATTTAGGTTTAGGGTTTAGGGTTAAGGGTTTAGGGTTAAAGGTTCAGGGTTTAGGGCTTAGGGTTAAGGGTTTAGGGTTAAGGGTTTAGGATTTAGGGTCTTAGCATTTAGGGGTTTAGGGTTTTAGCGTTTAGGGGTTTAGGGTTTTAGCGTTTAGAGGTTTAGGGTTTAAGGGTTAGGGTTGAAGGCTTTAGGGGCTTGGCGCTTTAAAGTAGTGGGGTTATTGTAATAATGTGTATGTATCCAGGGTTCTTTAGGGATTACAGGGTCCCTTTCCAGGGATCATATAAGCTATCCATATACATGTATGTGCATAAGCCTTTACAGGGTTTAGGGGCTGTTTGGGGTGTATGAGGACTATATAATAATCATGGAAAGAAGACGAAACTATGAGGGTTTAGGTTGGGGTTGAAGGGCTCTGGGTTTGAGGTTTAGGGATTTGCGGGCTGGGGGCTAGGGTCGCATAGGGATACGTAGGTGTATGTAAGGGAATGGAATAGAAAATGGCAAGTGCTATTTCAGCATTGAAGGGATAAATAAGGCTGTCACCCAATAAGCGAATGGACAAGAAATCTAAAACTAAGTGGAAATTACGTCATATGTAGGTTTTAAGGTTTGGGGTTTAGGGGTTAGGGCTTCCTGATTATATGTCATAATGGAAACTGCTAGAGCTCTAAGGCTGAAGGTGTGTTTAGGGATTGGGGTCTAGGGTTATACGGGGATAGATGGGTGCATATAAGGGAACAGAGTATGGAAAATGCTGTTTAGGGATTACGTAGGGTTTGGGGTTGAAGGGATACATAAGGCTACCACTCAATAGCCAAGGATCAAAAGGAAAACAAACGCAAAATCAAATGGAAACTGTGTGACATTAAGGCTTTAGGGTTTGGGGTTTAGGATTAAAGGTTCAGGGTTGAGGTTTAATCCATACAGGGGGCATAGGCGACCTTGGGGATATGGAGGAGGTATGGGCGATGAGGGTCCGTCTTATGGATAATGTAGGAGCAACTTGGCGAACACCATGTGCGTCCTGCCCTGCACATGTAGGAGCATGCATGTCCGCACATTATTGAAGCCTCTGATCATGGTGAGGTACCCATTGGTACTAGTGTTCCTCCATACCAGGGTGGACGCCATCCGAAGGGGACAAACAAGACAAGTAGTAGAGATGATTGCGGAAATTGGGAATGAGAAGCAGGATGATGACTAAAGGGTTCTTCTTCATGACCTTCAATTTGTCCAGGCTGCGAAGAGAGACAAAACGTGTCGGTTCTGTTGTGCACGCCTCACGCGCAAGTTGCTGAACCCATCATTTTCTGAGCTCATGAGATACATGCCTGCTATCCGCACCAAACATGGCATTGCCCCAACTCACCACCGACCCGTCAGCTAAGATGGCGGCAAAGGCCCCGTAGCTGGCTTTGATCTGCTCCACATGTCTCAAGAGCCGCTGCACTTTGCTGCTATCAGCCCCACGCTCAGCATTACCCCAGGTCACCACACGCCTTTCCTGCAGAATGGCGGCGAAAGCTCCAGCTGAAGCCGCCATCTGCTGCACCGATCGAAGTTGCGACTGCACCACCCTGCTGTCACCGCCATTTGCAGAATTCCCCCACGTAATCACGCATCCATCCTTCCGCAAAGCCGCAAAAGCAAAGCCTGAGGCATGAATAGTCCGCACGTTTTGTAGCTGCTCTTGGACACCACTGCTCTCACCTGGATTCCGCCTACAAGGTAGAACGCCCTCAAAACAGCATCTTGTTGGTGCTTTTTGTTGCTACACAAAAAGAATGGTTCTCAAGGAGACACCAGTCGCCACCATGGTCGGCGCTGCCCCAGGTCACCACAGAGCCATCCTGCAAAATGGCCGCGAAGGCTGCATTGGAGGCATGCAGCTGCAAAACCTTCACCAGCTTCTTCTGCACCTGGTTTGGCGGAGAGTTTAGGGTTTCCAAGGTTTCAGCTTGAGGCTGCTGGGAGTCAAGGGTCAGGGTTCAAGGGCTTTGGATGATTTTAGTAAGATCACTCATGCAAACAACAACTGATACGAGGTATCAGATCCGCATCACACATACCCCAAAATCATACGATGCATCAGGTGGTGAAATCCCCACGTTTAGGACATGCTTTTTGCAATCCTGTGCGGTTGGAAGACACCGCCATAATTTTATTTCCTGAGGTCGAACACCAGCAACAAATCTAGCTCCGTTGTCCTGCAAACAGCCCCGCGTAGACTCAAATAGCTTTCTGAGCAGGATCTCCAGGCCATGTCCCCCGAAAGCGGTCCGTGTTCTCAATGAGTGCCACCGCAGCGCAGGAGCCCTAAACCCCCATCCATACACAAACCCTCTTAAGCTCAAATCTCCTTCAACGGCCCCACCGCCGAATCCCCGAACATCTAACATGCAGGCTAAAGTGTTTGGAGTATATAAGAGTCCCTCCATCCAACCCTAAACCATAAATCCTAAACCCTAAGCCCTAAACCCTAAACCCTACATCCTAAACCCAAATTCCACAATCAAGCCTAGGCTCCCCGCTGCAATCACCTCCCTCGGTCCGGCTGCCCCAAGTTACGACAGAGCCATCCTACAATCTTAGGCTTCAGGGCTTTAAGGTAGGTTCGAAGGTTTTTTGAGATAGGGCTATGTGTAGAAGTATGTGTAGTTCTACAGGGTCATGTAGGGTTCTGAGACTTCAGG